ATTTTACTTCATTTCAAAAACTGGACTCGCAAATATGCCCTGAGGAAAACACTCAGTTCTGTCATGACGATGCGCATATATGTGACACATTCAAATATCCATCATGAAATTTTGCTTTCCATTGCTACTTTACGAAACAACATCATAGCATTATGCGCTTACATCACTATATCCATGGTGATGAAAAGTATCCGTGACATATCACCTCCATTCAACCATCATTTGAATCTTCACAAAGGAGAACCCATATTCAATGCGCAATGGAAATATTGCAGGTTGGTGCATATTTCTGAAAAGAGCTCGTTAAGAACTTTACTATAAAATTTTCGTAATTGAAAATCACTTGACTAGTTTCAAAATAGTGAGATATTTCGGTCTCAAATAACACGATCTCTGAATACAAGTCGGTTAAATTTTATTTGAAAAATTTAATTGAAATTTCACTCTTGACTTGAAGAATTTTGCTACTGGCTGTACCATTATCACTTGAATTCAAAAATAAAGGGTATTCCAACTGAAATGCATACAGCATAAATCGGAAAACGAAAATATTTTTTTTTTATATGATATCATGAAAATTCCACGCATACAAGACGTGAAGTGTTGATATTATAGCAGAAACTTAGTTCCACCTAATAATACGATTATTTTCACCTGTTGCATTCATCAAAAATTATTTTATATTCTGCAACAGTGCAATCGTTCTGGATGATTGAATAGTGATTAATGTTCTTTTTCAAATCAATATCATCTCCTTGTATCGATATTTCATTAAAATCATCAACGCCTGATATTTTCATGAGCATTCTCAGTAACACTTTACCTGAAACATCCTATCCGAGAAAATCGAGATATGTTATAGTCAGAGTGGTAATATAAATGAGATGGTGGTCCCAGACGACTCGCCGTGTAACTATACCTAGTAGGATTTGAAATGAATTTTCGTTCTGAGGTCGTTCTAGAATTGAAAAATGAAATTGATCATGTAGAATGAAATGAGACGTTTTTCGCTTGTTGGCAATCTCAAAAACATCGAGGTTGATTTTTGTGGGACTTTAAAATACTCGAAATGGCGAAGGCACAATAACCATCAGTAATAATTATAGAAAAACGATTTATTACCGTGCTAAAATTGGACAATCAAATCGATTATATGAAAGAGCTCCAGATGAAACGTTTCTCATTGTTGGCAATCTCGAAAACTTGGTGGTTGTTTTTTGTAGGACTTTCAGATATTCGAAATGGGGAAATGGCGCCTTCTCCATGAAGCAAAATGTTTGATGATCAATTATAAAATTCTGTAAGAACACATATTTCTTGTTTCGTCTAGTTATTCATGCATTCATCTTCATGCATTGGAGAATCGAAGCATTCAAAATGGAATATTATTCGCTGAAAATTATATTTTACTTATAGTTAACTTGCAATGCTGCACGGCTGCATAGTAGTTAAACTAAGAGACCACGACAATCAGCACAGGGAAATCCCCACTTTACTCTTAACTGGAACGCAGCATATGTTCTAGTAGGGAAGCGAATGCGCGGTTACGCAAGAAAATAAATATACAGGGTGGCCCACGGTTCGCGTTCCCGTGATTGAGCAGAAAAGCGATAACGCGATGGAATGACATCATCATCGGTGTTTGAGTTGAATACAATTAAAAAATATATATACAGGGCGGCCCATGGTTATACCACCCTACTATTATGTCAAACAGGGATGAGAAAGCTGACGTATGACAATTCAAATATGACATTCGACAGATGACCGTTGACAGATTACAACGATTGATGACACGTGAACAGGCCACCTCTGCAAGACTGCTACCAGCTAGCTGATGCTTCCATTCAATGAACAGAGTGTTTGAACTTAGAGACCTAGAAGGCCAATATCGTTCTATTCGAGTGTTCCCCAACGTGGTTGCAACGGCAAATGTGAGCATGCGCAGTAAAGACGCGACCATGCCAGGAACGGCTTCGTAGTTATTTGATTATCAGTTGAATTGTGAAAAACCCATATGATATTTGTGAGGATATTTGTTATGACGGATCCATTTATGTTATTTGTAATAATGTTTCGATGTATCCATCAACTTTAGGTGTTCATTGGATAGAAATGGGCGAGCTACTATACAGGGTGCTTCAGGCTATGTAAGCAATAATTCACCATGGTTCATCAAAAAATAAGTCGGCATGCATATTTTATTTCTTCAAGAAAGGCTCTCTGTGGGAGATATATCACTCTGAATTCCAGTTTTGAGAATCGTTTTCTTGCTTCGACTTCAAGGACATAAAACAGAATTTGGTGCAAATACTTATGAAATGATCACCCTGATCGTTGTTCAACGCAAATGAAACTTCAAACATTGTCTAATGCTTGTGATATCAGATACGGAAATAACATTGATGGCATGCAAAGTACCTCATTGATTTATTGAACACAGTGGAACGAGAGCCATTTTTTGTTATACCTACAGAAAAAATATATGATAGCACGAAGCTTCTTGACGATATGAATTTACCTAAAGTAAGACATTCTTGGAATTTGTTATTCATCTTGATACCAAATCATTCATTTCGAAAACACTGTACACTAATCAGTCAATGAATCTCGAAACAGATAAGTACTGTTTTTGTCACTATGACTACAACAAACCACCCAAACTGGAGTAATATACCAAAAATCTTCGCTAATTCACTAAACTGAAACTAATCCCAATCCAGCTGTCTTCAGTTTACGTCAGACAAAATAACAGAGGTGCATTCTTATATACAGTTGCCGTTTCAGTTTCATCGATCTCTTGGTATCCATTCAATTAATATCAGTGAATCTATGAATTTTGTCGCGAAAATTGTATATATGATTCTTGTAATGCTATTGATCATCAGTTAGGAGAAGTTTTTTGAGAAATATACACTACGTCCTAATGCATAAATATGACTTTTGCGTATAAGAATATAAAACTGACAATGTTGCCGATAATGTGCGCATGATCACCATTGCCGTAGGAACACTGGTTGTATACAGATTTCAGCGTTTTTTCACACTTACATTAGCCTTCTAGGTCTTTGAGTGAGAGGAATATTGTTATTATTGAAAGAAGCGGTGGGTTTGCTGACAAAATATAGGTATTCGAAGATATTTCAATCCTGGAATCTCGTCATATATAATAATGCATTACTTAGGATAATAATAATTATCTTCGTGAAACGAAATCAAAAATACTGTGACTTTCATGACACATGACATTTGTTATTTTGTATCAGTTTTACATACTGAAAACGTTTTGAACATCTACTCTGAGTAATCTTTGGAGATATATCTGTGATCAGGTGGCCACACTCTTACTCAAGAGATTTTGACAGGCTACTTACTCTGTGTAACCTTTAACGACATATTTCTGATCAGGTAACCATAATAATAAGCTTACTCTACTCACGAGAGTGAGTTCATGAACACAGCCTTGATACTTGATCATACTGACACTTTTTTCGTTTCAGACACATCATACAAAGCAACTGAATCACCATATATCAACTTTATGCTACTTATATTCAATACTAGGTTAATTGAGGAGGTGGAACATTCATTATTCCAGATTTTTTGGGATTTTTTCTCCTCATTTCAAAGAAATGAAAGTATTAGTATAATTTCAATATACGTGTATTAAGGACAAATCAGATTATTTGCTCCAAAATTTCATTGCGTTTGAAGAATTTCCCTATCAGAGAGTCTGAAAGGAGAATTCACCAGCTTGTCAATGACAATTTGTTTTGAAAAATGTTTGGAGAAAAAAAGGATAAAGAAAAAATATCAAATTATCACTTAGCTTTGGACGTTTCGGTAACGAATCTGCTCCTGCTTTCAACATAAAGAATGGGTATTCTCAAGTGATAATTGGTGACGATGTCAATCAAATCAGTTACAGGACGTTTTCATAAATTGAACTCGAATTTATCATTTTCATTTACAGATAACAATCAGAAGAGAAAAATCAAGGAATCTGCTTGCATTCTTCTGAACGAAGCCAATAGCATTGCTTCCTGTTGAATTGATATACATAGAACATTGTATTCACTACTGAATTCAAAACTTGTGACTGAGAACTGAGAAATGTCTAGACGAATACGAATTTTCTATACAAATATCCATTTATGTTGAAAACTAAAGCAGATTCGTTTCCGAAACTTCCGAAGCTAAGTGAAAAATTGATATTTTTTCTATATACCTTTATTACTATTCTCCAAACGTTTTTCAAAACAAATTGTTACTGACAAGCTGGTGAACTTTTCTTTCAGGATCTCTGATAAAAAAAATCTTCAAACGCATAGACATTTTGGGGCAAGGAGAGAAAATCCTAGAAAATCTGGAATAATGTATTTATATTCAGTTCGTTCACTGTTCCTATCGTGAAGTTGACCATGATCTTACGATGCATGCACCAATACTCTTCTATATGTCTTTGATTTTCTAACTTTGAATGAGATGAATATTGACTGGTGCGACAGATAAACAATAAAATCATCTCATCAACTTTGATGAAGCATTCATTTCAATAAGAAAAAATCAACAGCTTACGTCGCAACACTTCTAGCGTGAAATGATTTTGATTTTCGTTCTCTACAAGATGCACAAGACAAGCAGTCTACAATGCCCTGCATGTCATGACAAAAATGTTCTTCAACCAATATTTTCTTGCTTGGTTTTCGAAACCAAATTTTTATTCGAAAAGTTTCTCTGATGAATGGAATTATGTATTTCACTAGTTTTATAATCATCAATATCACACGAAATATAGGTAGAATTGAGAAAAATAATCGGAATGTGGCAACGACATTGATTATAAATTATTGATGAGTATTTTGAGATTGAGGCCTATAAGCTCTTACAATGTTATTGTTGATTTGGGTGCCGATCTTCAAAGTTCGTTCATCACATTTAAACCTGTTCAGGAATCACCCTGTATTTGAAGCTCTGTATGATATATTATTAATACTTACTGCCTCGTTGAGGTATCTGTGCAGCTGAAAAAAAAAATTGCATTAGTTTTGTACACATTTGAAAGTATAGATACCATTTTCATTGAATACCACTGATGGACTTTCAATAGTTGAGATGGAAAGTTGTTAGAAATAATTTTGAACTTTACATATTCACAAAACACATTGATTAGAGCATCATCATATTGAACGTATGGATATGTATATTATGATTATTGGCAATGAAATCTAAATTATTATTCTTACTTATTATCATTGAAAAAATATGATGATACTCTCAGGAAATGAGAGTGGTACGACCTAATCACTATATTCCTTGCGAATTTCAATATTGTCAAGAAAGGATATTCATATATTCTATGAATTCATATTTACACCCATTTATATATTGACTATAACTATTATTATTATTTCACAGTTCTAATTCATCGAGTTTATTATATATTTCTCGGCGATTCAACTGTCCTCGTTCGTGACAAAACATGTTTCGATAAAATGAAAATTTGAGGTGATCGATCATAATCCACGTCCAAGGGGTACTTGACTTTTGGTCCGAATAGCGGACGGTTGCTTGTGGCAACAGGGATGTCCCAATTGATACATCCCCGAGTTTTGTTAGATTATTGTAAGTACCATTTCTATTATTTATTCAGTCGTCAGCCTATTGCCTCTTCGAAGAATGTAAAAATTGTATTTAATAATCAATACATCCATATTTGTTTTTGTTGTTCCATCTGTAGCCCTTTTATTGAATCAATCAATCAATCAAACCTCAGTGAATCCTAGCGAAGAGAATAAGTCACATTCGTGACAATATCGCTACACTAAAGTGGAGAACCATCTCCTCAAAAAGAGCGAGATCTACAGCTCATAGTAGATTTTGTTTGAGCGCTTCATGCCGCTAGGACACCTTGCCTGTATGTGTCCCATCTTATGTGCAAGATAGGTGCATGTTGTACCTTCGTGAAATTTTTTTGGATTTAAAGATGATAATTTCTAGAGGTGCGTTATACTAGCGGAGTGTTTTGGGTGTGAACATCGGAATACAATAAGGAGTCACGCTCCGCACTCTTGAACATAGGAAAACCACAAACATGTCTCTCTAGGTAGCGAAATAGATAACACAAAAAGGAAGTCGACACATTCAGCAGACGTTGTCAAGTCGGGTCTGGAATATTGCTGCCCAATGTTTGTCATTCTCTTTCAATGTCTCAATGCGGGATAGCTCTAGTATAAGCTTCAGATATCACTTCACCATAAAGAAAAATAAACTCCAATTCCCACTCCATCATCCAGGAATTGATTTGATATAACAATTTTCAGACCCCTCCTTATTTTTCAATATAGGACCATCCTTCAATTCCAAAGACCTACAGTGAGAAAAATGTTATGTTATGATTAATAAATAGATTTGCTTGAGCATGCTTCGTTGAATATCAACCTCATTTTCTTGTCATCAATATACCTCATTGAATGAAACCATGTAATTTGTAAATGAATCGTTGACCGAAAACAAAGGATTCGTGAGGAGCTAATTCTTTCAATATGAACATATGTTTTTAGTAGTAACTTCGATGATGAGTTTGTCACAAACCTGTTCGTTGTATTCAAACTTTCAGAATTCTTACTCTCGAATTACTATTTACTAATTGGTAACAAATTTTCTCTACAGTTTAATTGTAAGAGAATAAGTAATTGTTTGAAATATTTGTTATGAAATGATTGACCTCATGACGTAGTAATATTCTCTTCGGCGCAATTGATATCACAAAAAATTCCGGTGTGTACCGTTGAATGTGAATATGAGTTATATCAGTTTATGCTTGAGCATTTTAAAATAAGTGGCTGGTGAGTTTTTATGAAATATTGTTCTCTGTACAATTTCTAAAACTCAGAAGCGAGTCTGCATGGTGAACAAATTATACCAGCATTCAATTCCCCATCCAGTTTTATTATAAATCGAATTCCTATATATTCCTTATCGGCTGACTCTGATTCTTAATGATTCAATAACTATTAGGCATGATAATACATTTTCTTTAAAGCTTGTTCTATAGGCTTCCAGGGGGCGGGGTACTGGAATCACAATGAATGCTATTCCGGACCCTTCTGCTTATACTATGCTTTTATATTCAAATATTTGATTGAAATAAAGTTCATTTCGATACATTTATTAATCGATCTTATTTTATATAACAATTAGATTTCATTGCATACCCATCACCATTCCAGTTGAGGGGTAGTGAGGAAGCGGTAGAAAAACAAGGTAAATTCATTGCTCAATGGGTATTTATTCTAAATTAGCGATTTTCACACTTCAAATAACTGCAGATTTGTCAATCCAAGAGTTGTGTTGGTTAGAGAATCCAAGGCATTTGACATATATTCTTCCTCCTTTCTCCTTCAAGACTTTCTCTACCAAGTATGCGTCTAGATTGGCAGTTTTCAATAACTCCAATCCATGAAATGATCATTTGATCGACGTTCCATCCACATCTTCAAGTTTGTAAGTTCTGGGATTGGTAGCATTCACTTCGGATATTTTGAAGAGTTCAGTCGAGACATTTGCGGTATAGCCCTCCTCGAATACACCCTTATACTTGCTTATACGCACCACATCGCCAACGCGAAATTTTTCCTTTGGCACGATTTTTGGGTGACTATAGGCGTGTAGTATTGTAGTAGCTGTTACGTCGACGGCTTTCATACCGATTGTTCTATGTACCCTGTTATTATAAATATTAGTTAAATGTTGTAATTCATCACACCACTGGTATTCACCCCTTGCAGAAAATTCCTTATGAATCCAATTCTTTAGAGTTCTTATAACCCTCTCCACGATTGCAGCCTTCATCGTGCTATATGTGGAATAATGATTGATTTTATATTCAGCCATCAATGCGGCGAAGTTGCTGTTATAGAATTCCTTTCCAAGATCACTCTGCACATTTTTCGGTGAATAATCATCCTTTTTCAATACTCTCTCCATGGCCTGTGTAACTTCCGAACCGGTTTTATTTCTTATCGACTCGGTCCAGATGTATTCAGAATAGCAATAGATGATAAATAATATATAACGATAACCATTATTCTCCTTGTAGTACGTTTGCATCTCAGCCAAATCAATTTGCCACAAGTCTGCTAAACCTTTTATTATACTTATCCTTCTCGTAAAGTTGCGCCTCGCAGGTTAATGTAATTCATCAACAATCTGCCTTTTGGTCGCACTTATTTCCATTATTGTACTATTTTCCAACCTCCGAACGATCTCTTTGGTTTACATTGATATACTAATGGTCTAGCTTTTCTAAATTGCGGTAATATATGGTATCAATACACAATACCTTCTTCACGTAATTCCTCAATGATTGAGATTATTTCATTATCGTGCCCAGTGTGACCAGCCATTTTCGACCCATATAATAGTCGAAGGCGGTCCACTAATTCTGCAGCCTCATTCCAATAGACGTACTCTTTCAGATGATTACTAGCAATCTTTTCAATAGATTCTGATTGCTTCATTTCCCCACCACCTTTAACTTTACGCTGCTGACTCCTCATGTTAGGTGATGTGCTAATTATTGGTTTGATTATTTGTAGATATTTCTTTGATTTCGTACTAGCATTCAAGCCTTCACGTATATCGTAATCCTTATATGGCGCCCTCGTAGTTTGTAGTAAATCAGCATATAATCGCATGTCTCGATAATCGATAGATCTTGGAAAACGAATTTTCATGTTACCCATCATCATGTCTCCCGTAATAGGATTAATGCGAACGCCATATGTGGTATCATAGTTGGGGTCTTTGGATTCCAAATTTTTCAAATGCTCTTTCAACTGTTCATCTAATCCGCTAATGATTTTGCTGCCAGTCGCTGTTTTATCGAATGGCATGAGTGAAGATGATGATGATGATGATGATGGCATAAGTGAAGATGATGATGATGATGATGCTGATGGTGGTGGTGTATCCATCATGGTCACATAATTAGATCCCCCTCCTCCTTCTTCTTCATGTGATGGAATTTCAGTGAATAAACTATGTGGTTTCATTGTGCTTTCAGGTGTTTCCATAGAATTTGACTCATTTCCCGACATTGGTGTGGAATGGAGTGTAGGTTTCACCATGATTGGTCTACTTTGTTTGGTGATACTTTTCATTGTCGCTGCTGGAATATGGTTACTCATAGAGGTTGCTGCTTTTGAAATTGTGTTCAATGGTTTCATCAGTGGTCCGTACATCTTTTCCAGCACTATTTGATTACCTATACGATCACTCTTGAGACTTTTGAACTTTTTTCTTACTGCATCGGTTGCTTCAACGAGTTCACGTTTGAGGTCAATTTCAGATGTCATTTTAACCTTTTCATCATTAGATGTGCTCATTGTCGCTTCTGGAGATTGAATGAATCGAATGCTGCTGAAATATTATGAATATATAAAGTTATCGAATCCTTTTCTTCAGCGCCGCCCCTCATAGATTTCACTATCCTTATCGATAACAAGAAATCCATATTTATTAGTCCAACTTTGTGCACACATAGCTTGAAATTGTTTGAATGTCACATCTGGAGATACGTGATCGGAAAAAATGTGGTGTAGTTTCATGTCATCCTGTTTGAACATCACAATGAAGTTAGAGTTGTCTCGAATAAGCTGTTTAGGCACTCTAGAATATGTCTGCGCCAAATAGAAACAATCCTAGCTTTTGAATCGACCCATGGAGAAATGAGATCTTATTACATCTTGTTTTTCGCAAATGACATCGTCGAAAATGAAAATGCTATCAGGTTTAGCGTCTGCCGGTTCCACTATATCCACATTATTGTCGAAAGTGTGGAGTCCTAGCCCCTTTATTGGCTCCAAAACTTTTCGTAGATATTCATACTTGGGTTGGTATAATGATTTTGAGTAAATGTAGATATTGGCGAATCGTAAACCATTTTCATTGGTGAGTAACGATATCATGACATTCGTTTTACCACAATCCGATGGACCTGGTATGAGCCCACGTATTGTATTTGGGAATAATACCCCATGGCGGCGTTGTATGATGTTATTTCCTAATCCCACTTTTTCATCGAAATTATCCACATCGAATGTTTCTGTCTGCTGAACAATCCGCATTGTATGGTGGATAGATGGTATATAAAGAATCACACCCTGTGTTCGACTCATTTATACTATGACAGCGAAACGTTGCACATCGATGAAGAATAATAATAATAATGATAATAATAAAGGGAAACGAAGCAGACGTGGTGAGAAAGAGGGTGGAGGAATTGTTAACACCATAATCAATAAGTTACCATTTGAATTACACATTCCTGGAGGCTATCAATATTGCGGCCCGGCAACACGGCTACAGAAACGGAATAAATAAATTGGATAGAGCCTGCAAAGAACACGATATCGCATATCTCAAACATCCGAGCGGCTAATCTGCCAGGCATTCAGCCGATAAAAAATTGAAAGAAGCTGCCTGAGAGCGGGTCAAATCAAAGGACGCTAACGTGGGGGAGAGGACTGCATCTTGGTTAGTTACCAATATTATGAAGGGGAAGAGGCGTTTTGAGATGGGATGTAGTGATGGAGTGAAGGAACGTAGAGTGTTGAGGAGGAAGATGGAATCAAAGCGTAGTAGAAAAATCGCATTTGGTTCTGGTATAGTTCACAAAGTTCGCAATGTGATAAACCGAATGGGTAAAAAAGGCGCTATCAAGAAAAACTTAGCCGAAACCTCATTGATGGCGATTGGGGCTGCTCGAAAGTTTGTGAAAATTGCGGGTGGAAAAAATAATATCCGAACGCCTAGAATAATACCAATTCCTAAGGTTGGCGGAATTCTCCCACTTATACCCATTTTCGCGGGTTTATCGGCATCAGGTAGTTTGACTGCGGGGAGTGCCGGTATAGCACGAGCCATTCAATCCGCTGAAGAGAGTAAGGAGCAACTTTCTGAAGCAAATCGTCACAATAAGCATATGGAGGCGATCGCAATCGGAAAAGTTGGTAAAGGAGTCTATTCGAAGCCGTATCGAAAGGGATTAGGTATCTATCTAAAACCCCATAACTCAAAAAACTAGATGATTCACCTCGGAGGGCTTTAGCAGACATTGATCTATTAAATCAAATAGATAGAATAAAAGTACCACACTTCCGATGTATATTTATGAGATATAACCAACCCAATTCCGGGCTAAGACGTATAAAATCAGCTATTCTGAATTTAGATAGCAGCAAAGGCAGTGGCACACATTGGGTTGCATATAAGAAACGTAATAGTGCAGTGGAATATTATGATACCTATGGAGATTTACCACCCCCAAGGGAGTTAATAGAGTAACTGAAGAGGAGATCGAAACAGTCAAATGCTATGAAAATCGTATACAACTACGAGCGACATCAAGATTATAATACATTGTGGTGTGGTCAATTGTGTCTGGAGTTTCTCTCCACAAATAGTTAGACAAATATACTACAATATGGATAGAGAGAGCATCAAACGAATGGGTCACTCATTACTGGCTTACTCAAGAGTGCGCTCTTTGCTGGAAATGAGTAGAGCGCAACTTGCCGACATGCCGAAGGAAGTCATCATCAGCTGCGCATCACATGAAATAGCTCTAGTGTGGGAAAAGTTACCTGAACAATTACAGAACGATCCTGATATATCAAAATATCAATTCTGTAAGGAACACTTCACGGAGGAGGACAGCCAACCAGCCTTTATGTTATACCAGTGCGTTTCTGTCAAATTAAAGATGTAAATGTTGTGGCTGAGAATAAATTTAATTTTGCGAAAACTATGGCATTCATCATTGTTGCGGTAAGATTGTCGCTGTTGCTGCTACGTACATTGAAGTTTGACATATTTTTCGTAGTCTTTGATTAACCATGTCGCAAACTTTCACCATATCTGGGGATCGTAGTGTATTGAGTGGCAACTTTTATCCACCTATTGAACTCGATGCAAGGAAGACCTATGGATTAGGGTTGCATGGTTTCTACTCATACAACTCCATACTCAATATAGATGAGCAAAATAATCGATTGGATATCAAGTTCGGACCTACTTTCACACATGAAATGATTACGATACCACCGGGTGCTTATGAGATAGATGGGATCAATAAAGCTTCACGGTATGGATGATGTATTTTCTCTTCGTGCTAATAACAATACTATGAAATGTGAAATGAGTTGCATATATGAGATAGATTTGGCATCTGACACATCTTTAGCAAATGTTCTGGGATTCGAGAAGAAAAAATATCCAGCCTGTGAATAAAATGAAGGTGCGCCTCATAAGGGTGGATTGTAACATTACCACAGGAGCATTCCTCAATGGGGAGGAGGTACATACACTATATGAGTTCGACATCGATGTGGAGCCTGGATGTAAGTTATCAAAAGAACCCCAAAATGTTATATATTTACCCATCAATCCGACTGGGCGTCAGTTCATCGACAACATTACACTGAGGATATTGGATGATAGCGGACTTTTAGTCAATTTTCGGGGAGAAAAAATCATTGTGAAATTGGAATTGAAGCAGCTTACGTAACAATTCATCAATCCGGAAAAAAATGGGGTTTTGTGTTGGGAACCAATCAAAACATATTTTCAGAACTGAAACTACCACCTATCGTAGGAATATCAATAAAAAGGGAAGGAAGAATGGTGATGCATTCATTCGAACAGAACTACCCAAACGAGTTGGACGTAGGTTGTCTGCAAACGTCATACACTTTTTGCAATCCATTGGTCTGAAGTTGCGTTAAATAGCAATAATTAGCTAGATATAACGATTGTTTCATCGTCTATTAGCAGCTCACAATTGGAAGTGTTTGATGAACCGATTTTGGATTATTCCCTGATCAGCCTACATGAACACACATACAAGCCATATGGTTCGCCATCATTCAAGAATTCGGATGAAATAAGGATCGCCGTCAACTTCCAAGATTTATTACTCGATATTTCGGAAAGTTATATCTATATTGGAAGAGAATTCACACCAAATGATCCAACTAAAACATGTTATCTATCTAATAATGCTTTAGCATTCCTTTTCGATGAAATTCGTAAGGAGATGGGTGGTGAACAGGTATGCATGGTTCGAAAACCCGGCATCACTACAACCATGAAAAGTATGATTTCCTATGGTGAGGTGAATGCGAAATCCTTAGAAACAGTTGGATGGGGTCTAGAAAATGGGAAACAGTGTGTTCTAGATGAAACTAGTCGCGTTTTCAGCGGTAAGCTACCTCTTGAATATCTGATGGTTTTTGCTGAAGACTATGAAAAAGCTATTCTAAATATCAAGCAGAAGTTGATTCTCATTATAGCTCGTTTATTCAAGAATTCCTACATAGAAGAAGTTGATGCCGCATTGGAGATGAACAAAATCGAATGGAAGATAAGGCACGTGGTGCCATCAGATAAACAGATATTGAAGTTGTTGAATCATTTGAATAGGAGTACCACTGCAAAAGTAAGAATTGCATACAGGATGTGGGATCTTCATGAGCTACCAACAATCCGGGAAACAGCTTCCGATATTTGGGCCGTTAAAACTACCAATAGCCTCGAGCGACTGCGATTCATCATCATAGGATTCCAAAAGTCCTCGAACACAGATGATAGATCTAAGGATGTAACACAGTTCACCCATGCAGGAGTAAATATTCGATTGTATCTGAATTCGGAAGTTTATCCATACGAACGATGGAACTTGGATTTCGATAAAAAATTGGAAGCGGTATCCTACTATGCCTACGAAAATTTCCAACGTAGTTACTATGGGAAAGATATGGGTGAACCAATGATGAGCATTGAAGGATTTCGCGCTAACCCACTATTCATCATAGATTGCAATTATCAACCTGATGCAATGAGATCCTCAACTGTCGACATAAAGTTAGAGTTTGAAACACGTAAAACGAAGTTTCCATCTCACACCAAAGTTTACGCATTTATTCTCCATGACGCATATTTGACTTAAAGTGCATTGGATGGTTCCATTCAGATGTACTATATAAACATTTCATATTAAAAATCATCGTCAATACTTTTATGTTCATAACATTGGTTGTTTCTCGAAATATATTTTAATACTAAATAAAAACCGAATGTGCTAAATATGTTGCTTTATTTCACACTCCAAGTGATTATTATTAATATATACAAGTAACTAGGAGGATTCTTCAGCATCAGACGTCTCTTGAGTTATACCAATACTATATCTTCGAACGAGGTGGTTTGGTAGGAAATCTGAAATTTCATAGAGGAATTGCACCAAGTCCTCTTCAACCATTGCTTCCACGAATTCCTCAACATTAATGTTTCCATATTCGAATCCAGCACAGAGTAGGAAGCCCAATTTGTACTGATTAGCCTGATTGTAGAGTCGTTGAACTTGGTCTTGATCGAAGCATACTCTCGTGTCATAATTCATTGCATATAGTGTTTTCTGCTCCAACTCAGTGAATTGGCATTTCAACCTCCTCACACCTGAGGTGATATCTTCCGCTATCGGCCATGATTTGCTAGTATAATGCATATCTGGAACATTCATCCACATTTATGAGAAAAGCCTATGTATCCTGCAAAATAAATACATGTTACGCATGTGATCAATGTGGGTGTATCAGCTATCGATTTATGATATTTCTCTGGCATATCACTCACCATGATAATTTTCACCATTATCAAAACGTGATGAGTGTGACTATAAGACCAAGAGCTCGCGTGAAAGATAGTTGAAGTGAATATTCCAAAGGTATGATGGTTTTGATTGAAGTACCCCACAATAGTAAGTATAAGACCACCCGTCTGCCACCTTCAAGTGGGGGCATTAATTCAGTAGGGGGTGTTGAAAGGTAATTTTTTTGTCAATAGACTAAAGTAGTTCTTCCAGACTGAAAATCTGGACAAACGTTCCCTTTGTGATTGTGAATAAAACTGTGCTTTCAGATTTTGAGCAGACGGGGGCGTTATCGTAGCAGACGCCGTCAAAAATATGTCAAAAATGTCAAATGACAAAAATGAATATTCCAACTTGCATTTCGCATCGAATGATAGACTATGGAAATATCTACAAGTTTTCTCGAGAGAAAAAATCAGCAGACAGCGGTCCAGAGCCGGCAGACGCCCATTTGTTATGTGAAGTGGTTCCCTTATTTTTTTTTCTGGACGATATCTGAATGATGTTATTCCAGGTTGAAATTCGGTACATTTGTTATGTTTTTGGTTTTGAATATCACTATGATCTCAGATTTTGAGCAGACGAAGTCGTTATCGAAGCAGACGCCGTCAAAGTATGTCAAAAATATCAAGAATAAGTCAAAATTGTCAAATGACAGGAATAAATATTCCAACTTGTATTTTGCATCAAATGATAGAGAATCAAAGAATCTACAACTTGCCTTCGTAGAAAAAATCCTAAGACGGCGGCACAGAACCGGCAGACTCCCATTTGTCTTGTTAAATATCTCTAATATTTTTCCGGGCGATACGTAAGCGACGTCATTCCAAGCTGAAACATGGAGCATATGGTATTTGTTTTGTTCAAAACAATCACAATATTTTCAAATTTTGATGAAAGTAAATATCTTCCTTCTCTTATATGCAGAAAGGTTTCCAAATTATTGATGAAAATTGAAAAATAAATAGGATACACATCCAGACAAACAGTGTTCAATTAACTAGAACTAGATGCATATTATAGATTTAATTAAAGATGAACATAACTTTCATCATAAAATGTAGAAAATTCAAGAAAAAAATAACAGAACAAACAGAACAGAACAAATGAAACTCATGGAAATATGTCATTAACTACTACTCATCATCGTCTTCAGATTCAACTCCACTTGAATTATCGGCAGCTACTAGTACTTCATTTAGGTTTTGCGGAAATTGTTCGCTCTCGAACCATCTTATTTTATATTCGCCGTCTTCTTTAACCCATCCTTTTCCTTCCGGGTTGAAGAAGTTTGGTTTCTCACTAAAAGCAAATTTCCAAATAGCTACAATTTGATTTGTACGTCGTATTTTGCAAATCAATGTATCCTTGCAAGGAGGGGGATACGACTGGCCTCAAAATTCTTGATACCCCCGAAAGGAGATTGATTCGATTTTGGCTTGTACCAATCCAAGAAAATTTCGAACCGAGCCTTATTGACGCTGGATAATTTTTGTTTTCCATAAACGCAAACGTATTCTTCTATATCTGGAAAAATAGAACATCATTCAATTATCGAATTACTATTGAATATCGATGCATACCTTCAATTGTTTCCTGAGACAGCGTTTCACTCTCTCCCATTCTACTGAAAGCTTCTTGGAACTTTTTGCTGTTCTCTTACTCTGTTGTTTTACATACTCTGAAAATGGCCCAGCAAGTAGCTGATGATATGAGTGTAATCAAAAATACATTTGTGTTACCTACGATTTAGCCATAGCTAAGAAACAAATACAGAGCGCTGAGCATCCAAGATTCAACAGTGTCTTTATATTATTAGGCGCTTTTCATATACAAATGGCCTTTTTCAAAGCTATGGGAAAATATATAGGAGAATCAGGTGCACCTCACATACTATGTGAGGTAGACATATACTAGCACCTGGATCGCTCAGAGGATTCATCACTGGGACGCACTTCAACCGTTGCAAGAGAATCCATGAAATATTAGCAGCTGCTTTACAAACATTACATATAGAAGAATACGTGAAAATTCAAACGTCTGAACATATGTCCGAGGTTACTCGCGATTTGAAGAAAATAAATGATTCAAAAACAGAAGAAATGTCAGAAGCAAAATATTTGGAATTTCCCATTTGTTCTGTTCTGTTTGTTCTGTTATTTTTTTCTTGAATTTTCTACATTTTATGATGAGAGCTATGTTCATCTTTAATTAAATCTATAATATTCATCTAGTTCTAGTTAATTGAACACTGTTTGTCTGGATGTGTATCCTATTTATTTTTCAATTTTCAATAATTTGGAAACCTTTCTGCATATGAGAGAAGGAAGACTTTCACTTTCATCAAAATTTGAAAATATTGTGAATGTTTTGAACAAAAAAATACCATATGTTCCATGTTTGAGCTGGGAATGACGTCGCTTACGTATCGTCCGAAAAAATATTAGAGATATTTAACAAGACAAATGGGAGTCTGCCGGTTCTGTGCCGCCGTCTTAGGATTTTTTCTACAAAGGCAAGTTGTAGATTCTTTGATTCTTTATCATTTGATGCAAAATACAAGTTGGAATATTCATTCTTGTCATTTGACAATTTTGACTTATTTTTGGCATATTTGACATATTTTTGACGGCGTCTGCTTCGATAACGACTTCGTCTGCTCAAAATCTGACATCATAGTGATATTCACAACCAAAAACATAACAAATGTACCGAATTTCAGCCTGGAATAACATCATTCAGATATCGTCCAGAAAAAAAATAAGGGAACCACTTCACATATCAAATGGGCGTCTGCCGGCTCTGGACTTCTGTCTGCTGATTTTTTCTCTCGAGAGAACTTGTAGATATTTCCATCGTCTATCATTCGATGCGAAATGCAAGTTGGAATATTCATTTTTGTCATTTGACATTTTTGACATATTTTTGACGGCGTCTGCTACGATAACCCCCCCGTCTGCTCAAAATCTGAAAGCATAGTTTCATTCACAATCACAAAGGAAACGTTTGTCCAGATTTTCAGTCTGGAAGAACTACTTTAATCTATTGACAAAAAAAATTACCTTTCAACACCCCCTCCTGAATTAATGCCACCACTTGAAGGTGGCAGACGGGTGGTCTTATACTTACTATTGTTGGGTACTCCAATCAAAACCATCATACCTTTGGAATATTTACTTTAACCATCTTTCACGCGAGCTCTTGGTCTATATGTGATATGTAAGGTTTACTATATAATATCCACGTCCCTTTCTAATATATAGCAATTCTATTGAATGAAATTAACTATTGAATCATAATTTTAATTATTCATACTTTCTTGCAATCAAATTTAATGAGAGCTCTGGTCTTGGCACCAGCAAATATTGGCTCACTTTGCCCCAAGTACGTTAGAGTACAAGATCCATTAGAAGAATTCATTTCATTGATATCACTGTCGGTCAATTGATCTACAACTCTCTTCGGTAGCCAACATTTTAAATTTACTTCAGTCTCTTCATCATACAGAATCACAGTACCACTTCTACCGAATCTAGTTCCACATGAGGAAACTTTATCGATCGTGTAACACTTATTCAGCGGTAGTGATGAAATTAAAATTTGCTTGATCATTTCATTATATTCATTGATTTTTTTATTGATTGCGACCAAATAAATTTTTGCTACTGCCATTATTCCTCGAAGGTGAAAGGGGACAGGGAAGTATATGAATGAACGTACTTACACAAAACAGATCACCTCTTAGCACTGAAACTATTCTAAGTAGGTATACTTTTTTTTATCGCTTGGAGCGCACGAAAGGGAATCCCTATAATGTTCAAAGAACATCGTGCGTTCATAGGGAGGATAGGGATAGGAGGTAGGTATTGGATTTTTTTTTTAAACTTCTGCAGAATATATGTAGTTGGGAATTCATCCTCAGGCAATGAATTCCAGAGCCTAGCCGTTCTATGGATGAAGGAGTTTTGACGAAGTGCTGTTCGACATCTTTCGAGGTTGACAACGAAATGATGTGCTGACTGGGCTCGTCCAGTTCGTCTGACTGGTATTGCTAGTGGAGGGATGATAGCAGAGATTTCCGAAGAACATTTTCCGTGGAAGTATCGGTATAACCGACCTTTCTACGGTGTTCCAATGATGTCAAAGAGTGAATGAGTGAGTGTGGCGTCACCCACCAGGCGGATGGCTCTTCTCTGGATGGAATCTAAGAGCATAAGCGTATGTTTTGGTGCTGAACCCCATATGTGGGAACATTATTCTAGAACAGGCCGTATCTGCGCTTTGTAGATCATGAGAAG